TTAATTTTTTATTTTTAAAATTTTTTAATATTATATACATTAATTAATTTAACAATAAAATATAAATAATTTTATTAATTTTAAATTTTCGTCTAAATTTTTATATCTCTTATCATTACTTTTAGGTAAACTATTATTTTAATAAAAATATTAGTTTTGATAATAAAACAAATATCATTAATAAACTTTATGGTAATACATATTTAGTTTATTAAGAATTTTTTTTTCAACTTAAGACATGTTTTTAAGAGGCTATTAGGCAGTTTAAACTCTCTAATTCACCAAATTATATTAGATAAAACCCCTAATTGTTCAGTTTTAAATCGTTAAACCAGAGAGCTCCAGAGGGGAAGTCAGAAGATATTTTCGAAAAAATATACTTCGTAATTAAAACCAAGGAATTTTCAAAACTGTTTTTAATTACCCTCAATTTTTTAATTACCAAGCCAAAAGAAATTTAGGTTGGAGAGGCCGCAGTTGTTTCCGGCGAAGATAGCAGAGCAAAAACAGGTCTTACTTTTCCTAGGAATCCAGTCCATACATTCTATTCTTCAAGATTTGATAGCAACAACAACCAATACCCTGCCCAGATTTTTCCCCGAGACTCAAAAATTCTCAAAAAGGACTCAAAAATTCTCAAAAAGTAAGCTTTTTTAATTTTCATGGTCCTTGTTTCACCGGAGAAATTCGTCTTATTTCTACTTCAATCACAGCTCTTAACTTCTTTAGGTGAAATAGGTGCTTTCTATTGATGGGTCTTGTGGGTTTGGCTCGGATTTTTTGTGGGCGTTGAGGGGTTGCTTCTGTTTAGGAAGATTAGGAGATGGGCAGATGGGAATTATATTTTTTTGTTGCATTTGGTGGTATTTAGGTTGCTTACATTTCTGAAATCATGGGTTTCTACTGTCTCTTCACACGGCGTGCATCTTTTCCTGTACTTTGTAACATTGAGATCAATTTTTGAAAGGAGACGATAGAAGCTGGCAGAGATAAAACCCTAAATCCCCAGATCCCCAATTTTATTTCCCTAGAATTGAAGGGTATAAAAGTAATTTTGTTTGATCTAATGATTTTGGGGTATTTCTCTAGGTGGCGCCTCCATTTCAGCAAAAAAAAATGCCACATCAGACGCAGAGGAAGGGTGGGGGAATGGACCGTTAAAAATTAACGGAATGATGATGTCGGCGTTACAAGAGGGGGTGATTTGCCACTGCAGGTGAGTTGAGGGGTTGGTTTGCGCGTGAAGTAGGTTGAGGGGGTAATGTGCCACCAATGGATGAGTTAAGGGGGTGATTTGCATGTTTTGCCTTCTCAAAACTGATATAACTAGGGGCCATGTTGAATTGGGTGGCAGAGATTTGCTATCATCGAAATCGACTCCTAAAGCCAAATTTAAAGGGCCGAAGTAAAAGCCACGTGATTAGTTTCTACGTTTTTTCTTTCTTTTTTTTTTTCAAAATCAAAATAAAAAGGAAATAATTTTAAAAGGGCTAAAGTAGTATGTAAGATTATGAACTTACATTAAATTCATAATTAAAGTTTTAAAATTTTATTATACTTAATTAAAGTTTTAAAATTATCAAAATTTTTAAATATGGTCATAATTAGATACAAGCCATTAGCTTTGTTAAATTATTTGTTAACAATGTTAAATTTGATTGATTAAAAATAAAAATAATTCTTAAATTTTTAATTTTACGTTTTGATAAGTCTACAACTTTTAATAATTTTAAAATTCTCCTTAAATTATTTTTTTATTAATATAAAGATGTTAGATTTAATAATGTTAACAATTGATTTAATGTGCATAACAATTTCTATCTAAATTATTAAATTAAAAAAAAAACAGTTTTTATCTAATTAAGATTTTATTTAAAAATTTTGACAACTTTAAAAACTTCAGTACAGTAAAATTTTAAAATCTTGATTGCAAATTTGATGTAAATTTATATCCCTATGAACTATTTTAGCCTTTAATTTTTTTTTTTTTTAACTTACCTAGAACTAATTTTAAAAGAAAGAACAATGGGATAGCGTAGTCGGTAGTCCTGTTGATTGCAATTATAATGATTGATCGGTAGACTTATACAAAAATGTAAGAAGAAATACAACTTGATTCCCATTTTTCCCTTTTTTTTTTTCTTGGAATAAAAGGAAAATAAATCACAGCTTCTCCATTATTGACGGCGATCATTGAAACTGAGGAGCTCCAAAGGATTGTTGTGGAATCCAAATACTTGATTTTCTTCTCTTAATACTGGATTAATTACTTTGAAAAAAAATTAAATATAATAATCACATTCAAAACTAATCATAAGTTTTATACCAGTGAGAATAACGATTTCTTAGTCATTACCCTTGCCGACAATCAATTAAACCCAAATTTGAAGAAAATGAGTCTTGCGGAGCTATAATGAAAGAAATGGCATTCCGCGACAATTCAAGATCTGCAATGCAAAAAAATATGTACTTTAATTAATATGTATATATTTTTAATAAATACAGACAAAAATAATCAGCGTCACACAAGAATTCTAAATGAACATTCAAAGCAAACTTAAAAGATTTGAAGTGTATAAAAATAATCCTAGGATCAAGCCCATTGATATTTCAACTTTGTCAGTCTCGAACAAAACCCTTAAAGAAATCATTACGCAGCACCCAATTGGCTTTGAAATTAACAACTGCCTTCGAAACCGTCCAAACGAAACGTGGCCAGAAACCCCCTCTCTAGTCCCAAGAATTGATATTTTTCAATTGTTAATTACTTAATCATCCTACCATAGGAAAATGAATATAGACATGTGCAATTGGAAATTTTTTTTTTAATACCATATTATCATAATTAATAATATTTTATATAAATTTATATTTTAAATATTTATTTTTTAAATAAAACACTTAGAAAAACTTATTTTCTTTAATTTATTTATTTAAATAGAATTTCTTCAAATCATATCAATATTAAT